TTTTTTTTTTTTTTTTTTTTTTGCCTATCAGTACTGACTGCCTGATTCTGGCTTCACCTGTGCCACACTGCTTCATTCTCTGATCAGCTTTCTGTCACCAGATTGGTTTGCACCTTCTAGAATAGTATATAAATGGAGTCAAACATCATACACTATTTTTTTATCTACCTTATTTCAGTCAGCAGGGTTGAGACTCTTCCACGTTGTTGTATGTGTCAGTAGTTCCTTCCTTTTTATTGCTGAGAATATTTATACAATTGGTGTAAATATACTCAGCAATATAGGACCTTTTGGTTTCCAGTTATTCAGTTAATAGAAATGGAGCCAGGGCAAATGACAGGTAGCTGATTATCAAAAAAAGGACATGGATAGATAGCCTTCCTCATCCATCCGTTGCTAACACCTCCAGCAGACGGGGAAGGATCCACTTTCCAAAAAAGTGATTACCCTCTGGGCAGCTGTTTTCCTGCTTTTGGTCACAGCAGGCAAGGTAAGAGAAGAGGGCTTGAAAAACAGAAACCTAAAATCTATAAAGGGGCAAGACACACTCCCTCCCATAGGCATCAGCTCTGAGTCCCTAGTTCTCTCCCTTGGGGTCTACTCCCTCCTGCCATCCCCCACCCTTCTTTGTTCTGTATTTTAAATAAGATTTGCTTTCTATGTTTGCCTCAGTGTTTCTCAGGTGTTTAATCCTCAACACTAGGGGAACAGGTACCTGAGCCTGATTTTCAAGACTGGTCTCAGAAATAAAGCTGCTATGAACAGTAAAGTATATGAGGAAGAAGACTTGTAAACCTTTGCTTCCATTTCTTTTAGATACTTACCTAAGAAAAGAATGACTGGGCTGGGGATGTGGCTCAAGTGGTAGTGCGATCGCCTGGCATGCGTACGGCCTGGGTTCGATCCTCAGCACCACATACAAGCAAAGATGTTGTGTCCGCCGAGAACTAAAAAATAAATATTTAAAAAATTCTCTCTCACTCTCTCTTAAAAAAAAATTCCGTGCATTTCTTAATTCATTCTTTAAAAAAAAAAAAAAAGAAAAGAATGACTGGCATAATATATATATCCTTGTGCATCTTTCTTGGATGTAATATGAATGGTATATTTTCTAATTGTTATTAATATATAGAATACAATTGATTTTTCTTATGTTAATGCTTTATCTTGCAGTCTTGCTAATTGTACTTATTAATTATATTACTTTTTTTGTAGAATCCTGGAATCCGTAGTATTTTCTATGTAAACCATTATGAGAACTATGAATACAGTATTTTAAAAATATTTTTTAGTTCTCAATGGACCTTTATTTATGTGCAGAGCTGAGAATTGAATCCAGTACCTCACACATGCTAGGCAAGCACTCCACCACTGAACCACAACCCCAACCCTGATTATAGTATTTTTTATAGATGTAATTTATCAATCTTGAGGAAGTTCCCCAGCAAGTTTCCTCTTTTTCTAGCCTGATGAAATTTGTTTTTATTAGAAATGAATGTTTGTTTTTATTAGAAATGAATTCAAATGCTGAATCTGCATCTATGCAGATTATTACCCTTTTTATAGTTTATTAATGATGAATTATACAGATTGATTTTCAAATGTTAAATCAATCTTGTATTATTCATATAAATTCTACTTGGTTATGATCTTTTTTATACATTGATTCAGTTTTCTAAATTTTGTTCAGAATTTTACATTTATTTTCATGACAGATATTGGTCTTAGATTTTTCTTTTTCTCTTTTCTTTTTGGTACTGAGGATTGAAACTAGAAGTACTTAACCACTGAGCGACGTCTCTATCTTTTTTTTTTTTTTTTTTTTTGTGGTGCTGGGGATTGAACCCAGGGCCTGGTGCATGCAAGGCAAGAACTCTACCAACTGAGCTACATCCCCAGAGCTACATCCCCCTAGACCTTTTTTATATTTCTAGAGACAGGCTCTTGAGGCCTTGATTAGGGCCTTGCTAAGTCGCTGCAGCTGGCTTTGAACTCAAGGTTCTCCTTTCTCAGCCTACCAAGCTGCTGCTGGTGGGATTACAAGTGTGCACCACCACACCAGGCCTGTAGTTTTATTGTTGTTGTTGTTTTGTAGTATTTTTTTTTCTACTTTTGGTAACAGAGTAACGTTGGCCTCCTCACATGAATTGGAAAATATTCCTTCCTCTTCAGTATTCTGCAAGAACTTGACTGGATTGGTTTATTTCTTCCCTGAATGTCTGATGTACTTCACTAGTGAGTCCAGATGAGCCTGGAGTTTTCTTTGGGGGAAGATTTTTCTGTTTTATTTTGGTTTGGTTTTGGAGCACCAAGGATTAAACCCATGAGAACTTAACCCATGGGTGCTTAATCGCTAAGCCACATCCCCAGCCCTTTGCATTTTTTATTTTAAGACAGTCTTGCTAAGTTGCTCAGGGACTCACTAAGTTGCTGAGGCTGATTTTGAACTTGAGATCCTCTTGCCTCAGCCTCCTAGGCTGCTGGGATTACAGGCATGTGCCACTGTGCCCAGCTCTCCCTTGCTTAATTAAGTCTGTAATTTTATCACTTCATCTTTATAGCATCTTTTTTGTGTTTTGTTGTTGTTGTTGTTGTTGTTAAGCCTGTGTAGAGGTTTATCAATTTTATTGATTTTCTTAAAGTTCAAGCTTTGGTGGCACTGATTTTTTTCCTCTATTGTTATTTCCATTTCACTGGTTTACACTCAATATTTATTATTTCCTTTATTTTGCTCATTTTGGGTTTAATTTTATCTTTGTTCTTTCATTTATTAAGGAAAAAGCTGAAGTTGTTGATGATTTAAGGACTTTCTTTTATTCTAATACTAGCATTTATTGTTCTAAAGGCATACTCACTATTTACAGACCAGCTCTTTTGCTTTGAAAATCCTTTGGCTAGGTGTCCTTCTGCTTCCTCAAACTCTCTGCTGAAGCTCACAGGAATACCCTAAAGGGTACACTCTGGAGCCAGAAAGCCCTGGCAATAATCTTGACTCAATACTTAGTAGCTGTAGTATATATGTATGTATGTTTGTATCCATCCATATATATATACACACCTTTATTTATTCATATGTGGTGCTGAGGATAGAACCCTTTTGTAAAGTACACATT